GAATGCTTGCAAAAGTTGAGAAATTTCTTACATATGTTAGAATTCTCTTTCGAAGCACAGTTCTCAGAACACCTATGTGTTGACAGAGAACTGAATGGTCTTGCAGCCATTCAGTACCAAAGGAGAAACATACAGAGGCTTACGTTAATTATAAACTAGTTGGCCTATTAGCTCAGGCTTATTATTAACTCTTATAACTTACATTAACCCATAATTCCTGTCTGTGTCAGCCACATGGCTTGGTAGCTTTTTATCAGTGAGGCCTTCTCATCTTGCTTCCTCTGTGTCTGGGTGATGACTGCAGACTGAGCCTTTCCTCTTCCCAGAATTCTCCTATTTTGGTCACCCCCCATATTTCCTGCTTGGCTACCATTCAATCAGCATTTTATTAAACCAATGCAAGTAACAAATCTTTACAGGGTACAAGACCATTGTCCCACAGCACCTATGTTTCTTTCTACGTTCCCACATCTCTCCCTTCCTCTCTTGACTTGGTGGAAGATTACTAGAAAGGCATCCACACACATTTTATCTGAGTTCCTGCATCCAGTTATTTCATGCTTCCTTCCGATTTTCATCCTTGGGAAAATTGTTTGGCTGAGAGGTGTGTCTGTGCCTTTCTTCAGAAGCTTTTTTGCAATTGTCTTTTACTTTTGGTGGGTAGGAGCAGATGTTTCTTTCCCATCTTGCAGGACTCTAGACTTCCGGACTCAATTCTCTGTTTGCAAGCCTTTCAGGCCTGCTCTGAACTCAGTTTCTTGGTTGTGTAACTTTTGTCAATTCAGAAAAGTCTCACATAGACAAATAAGGTTCTGGTTTCTAATCTCTTTCTTTGAAAATACAAATTAATTAGATACAATATCTGCCTTTCAAGTATTGCATTTATTTTTGCCAAATGCATTGTGTTATAGAACATAGATTATAATTTATCTGGCCTGTAATTTAACTGCCTCAAGTACAATTAAATTGTTTAAGCTTTTGTTATGTTAGCACCTCATTTTCAGACATTAATTTCTGTGTTTTCAGATATGCTCCTCTGCTATTGCAGTCTCTCTCACTCTGTCTGTGTGTATTGTAGTGTATTTGCACTTGTGTACTGGGACACACGCACACAGAGGTCAGATAATGGCTTCTGGAGTCTTCCTCTATCATTTTCTACGTTGCTGTTATTATTCTTTTGAGGTAAGTTTCTCCCTGAGCCTACAGCTTGTGTTTTGGCCAGGCTGGCTGGTCAACAAGTTCCCAGAACCAATCTGACTTTGTCCCTTGATTCTGGGGTTACAAGTATACCCAGATTTATGTGGGTGCTGAGGATTCAAACTTAGGTCTCCATGCTTTCACAGCAAATTTTCTTACCTACCAATCCATCTTCCTCTAGCAGACTAGATTCAGCTGTATGGAATGAGGATAAAGTTTCTTGAAGTTGGATTTGTAAAATTAAATGTTTAATTTATGCCGTCAAGATCACCATCAATTTCATGCTGCTATTTTATTTAATATATGCGTGATGGTTTTCACTGTATAACCACATTTTAAACTTCTTAATACAAATTTACAATAGTACATAGACTTAGTACAGACTCTTACCTGGAACAAAAGTCCATAGAAAGCATTCGTGGAGTATGACTCCAAACACATAGTAGGACATATTGGCTAAAACACTGTTTATCACAGGTGAGCTGTGTGTAAGCCACTCCTGGGATTGCAGTTTTCTGTTGCTTGCTCTCTCTGCACTCCGGAGCTGAGTGTGGACTGCTTGCAGAACAGACCTTGGGCATTTCTGAGGCTCTCAAGGCTAATGGGGTCGACATGAGGTTAGAGAAGTGCACACACCAGAGTCGGCTATCTGTTTATCAGATGCCATAAACACCTGATTTTCCTGGGAAGAACTGCTGAATCAATACAGGCTAGTTTAAAGATCTGGATGTGTTGGCGCTAGGCTATCAGTCTGGCCACCTGGCAGGCTGTTTTCCCTCTGCAGCAGACAGTATTTTGAGCACAGACGTGAAAGTCAATGCTGCTTCCTTCACATGGAAGGTGTGTTTTACTCTTCTTTTGCGGCGGCAATCCAGCACATCCTCCCATATTCAGTCTGGGTGTTTTATGCTTTTCCTTTCAGGGTGGCTCTTATACTCTTCTATGCACTAAAGCACAGCCATGAGGGAAGAGACTCCTGAGGAAAGTGGGCATGGTAACAAGCCTTCTGTTGCTGTGGCAACACACCTAGCAATCAACCTAAAGGCATAGAGACTTATTTTGGCTCATGGTTTCAGTGTATGATCATGTAACATCATGCTTTTCTGCCAGGATGAGACAAGAACATTGTGTGGCTTTCTTGAGGGGAAAGCTGTTCAAACTGTCTCCAAAGGAAAATGTGAACGGAGGGTGGGACAGAAGGAGAGAAGGAAGGACGTGGAATAAAATATTTTCCTCAAATCTATTCTTCCAGTCACCCACTTCCTCTTATTAGTCCCTATCTATCAGAATTTCTGTCATTTTCTCATAGTCCATTAAGTTATAAATTTAATACATTCATAAGAATGTCATAATGAAGCCAGGCAGTAGTGGCACATACCTTTCATTCTAGCTTGCAGGGGCAGAAGCATGTGGATCTCTGAGATCGAGGCCAGCCTGATCTACTAAGAGAGTTCCATGGGCTGGAGAGATGGCTCAGCAGTTAAGAGCACTGGCTGTTCTTCCAGAGGTCCTGAGTTCAATTCCCAGCAACCACATGGTGGCTCACAACCATCTGTAATGAGATCTGGTGCCCTCTTCTGGCCTGCAGATGCACATGCAGACAGAACACTGTATACATAATAAATGAATAAATAAACTTTTTTTTTAAAAAAGAGTTCCAGGACAGCCAAGACTGCACAGAGGATCCCTGTCTTGAAAAAAACCAAAATAAAAACCCCAAACAAACGGAAGAATGTCATAATGAAGTCTATTATTTTATATGCTAGTCAAAAATTTATCTCTCTGTGTATAATATAGCCAATATCAGAGTTCTAAATAATTCACCTTAAAGCTAATAAGTAAAAATTTAAAAAAAAAATCTATAAGCTTATAAATAAAAAGTTGTCAAACCCACTTCCCGAGTTCCTACTTCTGAACTGTGCTGCAGTGGTCAGCAAGCCATCAATACATAACCCTTTGGCAGACAGTGCAGATCCAGAAGGAGTAGTAAATGCCTCAGTTTACTCAATTTATCCCAGAATTAAGAGCCTCACTCATATATTTGTTTGATAGCATGAAAGATACAAGCAAAAGTTGAAATCTAAAAGCATGCTGCTAGCCTTCACGAAGCCAGTTTCACTGTGCTCATGAGCTGTCATATGTGAGGCCTCAAACTTCTCTGTGAGAGAAGCATGGGGATTTCAGTCTGGCTAAAACACTTGTATGGACCCCGCGTGTGCACAAAAACTATACCGTGTGATGTAGATTGCATATTTGAGAATGTGCATTTGGGGAGGTGCTGAAGAGACCTATATTTATTAATATCCTAGAGAACCGTCCTGACCAGAAGCAGGCAAAAGACAGATGGGATTTGATCTTACCAAGAATGAGAAGAGAACAATGTTGAAGAAGACACTTGGAGAGTCATCTGGTGGGAGGTGAACTTCTGCTGGCTGCAGAGAAGGACATAAGCCTTCATAGACAAAGACAGGAGCCATGTGTTTGTACGGCATGCCCTGGCAGAACTGTGATCAGTGCGGAATGCTCTCCAGTTAGTGGAGATTTAGTCAAACATGTTAACAATGGACAACAACAGTTTTGCATTCTAGACCATACTCTGAACTTGGGAAGGCAAATTTACCTAATTGTTAAGAATTTTGGTTGTAGAATTTTATATACAAACATATAGTTTTGATCAAATCCACCCCCACTCCCTGCATTTGAGGAAGCTTCATTTTGTAGTTGATGGTAATTGACACAGGCTCATAACTGGTCAAAGTGTAGAAATTTTTTAAATTTACTTATTTTTATTTCATATGCATTGATGTTTTGTCTGCAGGTATGCCTGTGTGAGGGTGTCGGACCCCCTGGAACTAGAATTACAGACAGTTGTAAACTGCCATGTGGGTGCTGGGAATTGAACTTGGGTCCTCTGGAAGAACAGCCAGTGCTCTTAACCCCTGAGCCACCTCTCCAGACTCCAGGAATAATTTTTCTTTTAAGAAGTAAGCTGCTGTTTTTGAGAGAGGGAAATGATTGTGTTTCCCTAGCATAAATGCCTGTGCTTGACAAATGCTCATTGCCTTGATCCGAACAGAGACAAACGAATTTCACACAAGTCCACAAACTATGCCCCAAAGCATGTCAAGTCTTCTGTTTGTGCTTCACTTCACTAACAACAATGGTCCCCAATCAGAGTTAACTAATAGTCACATCTATCGTGTGAATGATTATTTGTTAAGCACAGTCGGGGTCTAGTCAGAGGGTTAAAACAATGAGTTTAGGGAAACCCCCAAACTACCTGTGGATGTAATTTCTGCATCTCTCCGGCACCAGTCATTCTTTGGTTTTATTTTCCCCTCCATAGTGTTTAAAACCAAGCCTTGGTAAGGATGACTTTACCCTCAAGTCACAGGGATTCTCCTGCCTGACCTGAAAGTAGAAGCCACAGTGTATGACAAGAACGTTGACGATTTGCGGAAGAATTAAAGATTGTGACAGTAATCTGTGACTCGGTTCACCTCTGTCGTGAAGATAATGAGAGAGGAAAGGGGGGAGTAGAAGGAAAGGAAGATGGGTCCATTTTTCCGTCATCCCCTTTAGGGTCCCCCTTAGGTTCCCCTTCAGGAAGTGGAGTAGAAAAAAAAAACCCCGCATTCGTCAGTAACTTTGGGTCAACCACAACTTACAAATAGTAAGGAGGTCAATGGAAACAGGGACAGTGATTACTATAAAACCAACGGGTCCCGTCGTTGATGTACCCAGGGAGGCGTGCTCAGAAGAAAGTGTTTCCTGAGCAAAGAGGCAGCCCGCTGGAAACAAGCATGCAGAGAACACGCGAGACAGCCGTGGTGAGTGGTGCTGGTATCTAGGATGAGGGTAACTGCGTCTGCACTTTATGAAAGGTAGATTTCCAAGGCTTTAGATCTTCTCGGAGTCTTCTGTGAGCTAGGTCTTTTAAAAACAACAAGGCTAACTATGGTAGGACTTTGAGTGGAGGAAATAGAACTGTCCAGTTAAACTTTCAGATAACCTCCTGGAGAAGTTTTTCATATCCTTGATACTGGATTAATTAATTAATTAATATGCATGGTCTTATTCCTTGTAGAAGCTAGTGGAACGTTAATGAGGACTGGAATTCTACTTCTCACTGCTTACAACTAGAATCGTGCCTGTCATTAATTGGATAAACCTGGGAAGGGTTTGCTATAGAGGCACGTGGACCAGGCTTAGGAACTCCCACGCTGTGTTATCGGTTCTGATGGTCTTCTGATTTTCCTTGTATGAGTCTTGCAATTTCAAAAATCTTGGCTTTTATAAACGGCACCTGTTCTCTGACAGTGGTGGTTTTTGCTTGATTGTCAGTTTGTTATTTTAGAGATTCCAGCAGGCCACCAAAGCACAGTATTTAGGGACAGAGGCTTTGAAGTCACAGGTTTGGCCCTGCTGCCTGCTAATGTGGGATTTGGTGTTAGTCACTGACTTTTGTGAATCGACTTTGCGCAGTCGTGTGGCAACATATTGACAGTGTCTCCCTTATAGTGGTTTGTGAAGGGAGAACTGATATATTGTGATGAATCTCTGTTTGTGAGGTAGATCATGGATGCTTAGTTTTTAGTTAATTTGAGCACTCTAATTTGCTGGAAGAGATAAAAGGTAGAAAAGGCCATGTAAATGTTAATTCTTAATATTATTGTTTTTGTTGTATGTTTTGCTTTTTGAGACAAGATCTTCCTGTGTGGCCCAGGCTAGTCTTGAGTTTGGTATGTAATTTGGGCTGGTCTGCAATTGGCGTTCCTTCTGCCTCACTATCTGGAGTGCTGGAACTATAGGAGTGTGCCATGAATTCTGGCTCAGACACCCTCATCAAACCACAGAAACAGACAACTAACATTTTCCCCATTACACAGTGAAAAGGAGCTCAGTCATCTGCTTTTTGTTTGCTGTCATTAAACCCTGTGATGCCGAACCGAGACTGAGCCTAGCAATAGTATGCTTCTTTGTGGATGACAGAAAGGCAAAGTTCTTTTTTTCCTTTAAATAATTTATTTACTTTTATTTTATGTGCATTGGTGTTTTTCCTGCATGTTTGTCTGGGAAGGCGTCAGATCTTGGAGTTACAGTCAGTTATTAGCTACCATGTGGGTGCTGGGAATTGAACTCAGGACCTCTGAAAGAGCAGTCAATGCTCTTAACCCCTGAGCCATCTCTCCAACCCTGAGAGGCAAGATTCTTAACCTAACACCATTGTGTCAGAGCTAATCATTTGCATAGTTCAATGTTTCAAACCATGTCTATTTCTCTGAGGGGGGGGGCGGGAATCAGCTGAACTCTCAGCAAGAAGCATGGCAGTGGAAGCAGCGAGGAAATGGGACTGAGTTAGAAGGGGCAAGCAGAGAGGACACGCTCGACGGTAATTGAGATCAGTCTGGCTGGGGCTTAGAGCTGACCAGGTCCTGTAGCCCATCCCTGCCTGGGGAGGTTCCAGATGACAGGTGAGTGTAGGGGCAGTGTGCAGATGTTCTCACAGCTGGGCTCACACTGGAGTAAGGTACAAAGCTCTACTGAAAAGGTTCAGAGTCTCTGACTGTTCTCCCACAGCTTCAGTGTTTTCCTGCCTGTTTCCCCTTCTACAGGATGAAAACCCTATCTATTAATCTTCTTTACAGGGGGGATATAAAACACTCTCAACTTCCCTGAGAAGTATTGTTTGTCTCAGTCTTTGACTTGGCACCAGCCTTATTAGAGCTCAAAAACACTAAAAATGATAATGACAAGAAGCAAGCGGTGATTTCTGATATTATGTGATTTCCTGATAAAGGCCATGGGGCTTTCAAGTGCCTCTCTATTCCAGATACAAGGGGCAGATATTTGGAATTCTTCACTCCTGTAATGACACACAGCTAAGGTTGATGTGAGTTGTAGTTGTCATGACCTTCAGTGGCTGTGACCAAGCATCGCCAAGGAAGGTGGAGCCTGTAGACATTAAGAGGCTGGGAAATGCTGGTGAGATAAGTAGAATGAGTTTTGTCTGCTTCATGAGACAGTGGGTAGAACCCAGTGTTTACAGAGGGTTTTCTAAAACACTCCAAGAACATTGAGTGAAATAGTAATGACTTGTTAGGGGCACAAGAGTTGTCTCTTTTCCTGTCGCTGTGATAAAGCAAGATAGAGCCAGGCAACAACTGAGAGAAAGTGCTTACTTTGGGGCCTGCAGTTTCTGCGGGTTGACTCCACGATCATCCTGGTTTCAGGCAGGTAGGCATGGTCCTGAACCAGTAGCTGAGAGCATATATATCTTGAGACACAACCACGAGGCTGAAAGAGCTAACTGAGGATGATGTAAGACTTGAAAAAAATCAAAGCACACTCCAGTGACACAGTTCCTCCAATGAGACCACATATCAGCCTCTGGAGGGCATCACCTAACCCAAGTTATAGGAACTTTCAGTCTTGATAATGAAAAGTGGAAGTGACTCATGATACACAAGAGGAGGCTCAGAGAAGAAATTAATATTTAAGAAACCTAACTAGGTGGTTGGTAGGTGTGTGACTATGTTTTCTAAACTTCCAAGCACTTGTGAAGACTACATTCCACATCCGTCTCACACACAGTGTGTTGTGTAACATCAATCCAAAGCCAACAGTGATTACCTGAATCAAACCCTAACGGGTATCTTTGGGATTTATGTGGATGCAGGAAACCAAGTCACTGTGGTGTGAGTTCGAGACTTGAGTTCTGGACTCCACACAGTTGACTCCAGAGATAATGCCATAAACGACAACACTGCAGCCCTAAGGACCAGTTACGGAGTGAAAGAATGATTGCGGAGGTGAAAACACACGGCTGCTGATTATCTGGAGGCAAATCTGCCCCATTCTGCATTTGATTTCCATTTATTACCGGTGATCTTGGGATAGCAGCTTCCATGAACTTTCTGCTTGTCCTGTGCATTTCTTGCATCCAGCATGAATGAAACAACATGCAGGTTTTTTAAATCAACACGCACATCATCACTTTCCCTACCTACACAGTATGAACCTGAACAATGCCGGGCCCAGAAATCGAAAACTCAGCTTCAGCTTTTCTGTCCATCCCCAGGGATGGTCAAGCAGGGATGGCGGTGTGGGCAGAGGCTAGTCACAACAAAGGGAAGCTGGAGTGCCTGGCTCCTCTTGTGGGTAGGTCTTCATGGAGTACTTTCTTTGTGCGTTCTTGTAACACCAGATAAACCAATATTTCAATGTTCGTATAGAAAATACAAATGCCTGAGCTTAAAGAAATGGCTTCTATCCTGTGCCGTTGTGCACCATTAGTGCCTCTGCTGCTTTCAATTAGCATTGATAATTGGAAGTTTGCTTTGGTTGCTTTCTCAGAATCTTTTCCTCAGTGAGCTGAGCTCAACCACATTGTTTAATTTAACGGTGTCGCCCTGTCCATTCATCCCCTTATCCATTCATTCATTCATTCATTCAGAAAGGTTTCATGGAACATCCTTGCTGTGCACATTCTTTAACAGGAAGCTTTCACTCTAACATGTCTGATATGAACACAGATAACGCCTTTCTAGAGAACATAAAAAAAAATGCTTCTTGAGTGATAACCGATAACATCTTTAGTATTTCATGTTGATAAATGTACTTCTCATTGAACTACATATTATGAATCGGGCCTTGATGGTAGCGTGGACCTTGGAGGGATGTCCTGGAAAAAGGCTTTCTAGAATATAAAGCGGGAGATAAGTTCAAGAGGGTTTTAATCTTCAGTCTTTCTGTTTTGCACCTTGATAACAGGTATGACTGTTCTCATTGCCAGTGATTACCTGTACTGCAGAAAGAAGAAACCTTGATCCCATAAAGAGACCCCACATACAGGGCTGGGGTTCAGCCACACTGTGCCAGGGCTCTCACCCTCGGCAATCTTCTCTGTTTTCCAGGTCAAGTCCCTGCTGCTGTTGATATTGGGGCTTGCCATCCTGAGGGAGGTAACAGCTCATCCGAAGAAACCCATAGCACGGGCTCTTGTCCCCCAGAAGGCTGGGAACTGCCCTCCTCTGGAGGATAAGAGTGTGAGAGTTGACCTCCGCATCTTCAATCAAAACCAGGGTGTTTCTGTCTCACATGACTTCCAGAACCGCTCCAGCTCCCCATGGGATTACAAGTAAGTCAGGGAAGACGTGTGTGTGTGTGTGTGTGTGTGTGTGTGTGTATGTATGTATGTATATGTATATATATATATTCCATTGGAAAATGTGCTAAACCAGATGTGGAGGTGCATGACTTTAATCCCAGCACTCAGGAGGCAGAGGCAGGTAGATCTCTGAGTTCAGGGCCAGCTTGATCTACATAGTGAGTTCCAGAACAGCCAGAACTACACAGTGAAGCCCTGTCTTGAAAAAAAAAAAAAAACCAAACACTAAAAAAAAGAAAGAAAAGGAAAAGAAATGTGTTCTAAATTCTTTTGACTGTGAAGCCTCATTCTCCTGAGTACTCAGCGTCCACATTAGCTCTCTTCCTGAGATGGAGTTCTCACACTGTAGCCCAGGTTGCCCTAGAACTTCTTGGGTAGCTCAGGCTAACTTCAGATCTATGATTATCCTTCTGCTTCAGCCTTCTGAGTTCTGGGATTTTCGGCATGCGACACTATGCCTGGCTTCCCATTTATCCTTTCCAATAGAAATTCCACTTTTTCTGGTAACTCAGGTTTTTCTTGCTTTCTTGCCCCGGCTCACCTGTGTGGTTGAAAGTCTTAGTAGTTTTCAGCCTGCGATATTACCACTGTGCGAGGCTAAGTGGAAACCAGAGGTCAGCTTGAGGATCTGCTCCGAGCAGATGTCACTCTTTGAGTAGCGAGGGTAAGGGATGTGTGTGGAAGAAAACTCAGCTTGGGACATAGATGTCAGCCATGTGGGGTAGAATCTTGTGACTTTGTCTTGAGATATAGGCCCTGGGAACACTTAGCACACATAGTATGAATGCTTTACACGCATTCATACTATGCAGAACCCTCAACAGTTACCTGAGTTTGAGAAGATAGTGTGCTCATAAGCCCTGTTTATGGTGGAGGCATCTGGGGCATAGGAAGTTACTTAACAGCTAGATCTTGGTCCAAGAATCTAGAGCCTGTGCCGCTCGCTTGTGTAACTCAGAACCTCCCCTGGCCGGGAACACCCAGTGCTACCGAGCCCTTCTCTCTTCCTCTCCTGGCCTCAACATCCTGTTTTGCCTTTTTTTTTTCTTCTTCAGCATCACCCGAGACCCCCACCGGTTCCCCTCAGAGATTGCTGAGGCCCAGTGCAGATATTCAGGCTGCATCAATGCGCAGGGGCAGGAAGACAGCTCCATGAACTCCGTCGCCATCCAGCAAGAGATCCTGGTCCTCCGGAGGGAGCCCCAGGGCTGTCCTAATTCCTTCCGGCTGGAGAAGATGCGGGTGAAGGTGGGCTGCACCTGCGTCACGCCCATAGTCCGCCGCGCAGCCTGACAAAGCTTCGCATTAAACTCGGCTGAAGAAGCTGTGGAAATGCCTGTCTTTTTCCAGCGCTCTGCATAAAGCCTTATATTCAAGTCTCTCTGCTTCCTAAGACTCTTAGTAAGATGTGCATGGCGTTCTTGAAGCTCTGTTAGGTATAGTGTTAACGTTATTATTAGATATAGTGTTAACTGTTAGATATAGTGTTAGCTGTTAGATATAGTGTTAACTTTCTGCCTTGTTTTAGAATTGCTACCAGTCCTGATGCGTTCTAATGCCTTGAACTTCTGAAAATGAAGGAGAACTAAGGCACCCTTGGCCCAGCCTCTTTATATTATATGATGACCATATTTTTTTTGTCAATACTGTCACTTTTGTGCAATATCATTCTTGTAGAGTTCAAGGAAATGCTGGTATTTCTGATGGAAATGAAGAAAACCCATTTAGAATGCATGGAGGGAGCTGTGTAGTGTGGTCTGGGTAAGCAAGGATGGGGGCAAGCATCTGGTATGTGTGTCCATAGAAAAATTTGCTAAATATAAATTAGGGTGCCATAAACTATTATGTATTTATATTTGACAAACTACACATATATTTATGACCTATTGATTATATAAAGTTTAGTAGAAAATTAATATATTCATTAATTATGAAATAAAATATTATTAATTAAAAATATTTGAAGTATGTGCTGCTTAATTTTTGTCAACTTGATACAAACTTGAACCACCTGGCAAGAGGGACCTTCAGTTGAGAAACTGCCCCCATCAGATTAGTCTCTGGGCATGTCTGGTGGGCATTTTCTTGATTAATGTTGTGGGGAATACAGCCTATTTTGGGTAGTGCTACTACTTCTAAGCAGGTAGTCCTGAGCTGTATTAAAAAAAAAAAAAACAACTAGCTGGGCAGGCCTTGGAGAGTAAGCCAGTGGGCAACATTCCTTCCTCATCTTGGCTCCAGTTCCTACCCTGAGTTCCTGCCATGACTTCCATCCATAATGGTCTATATGTTATAAGCCAAACAAATCTGTTCCCCTCCAAGTTGCTTTTTGCTCATGGTGATTAGCATGGCAACACAGAAAGGAATTAAGGCAAAGTAATTGTTTCTACTTCCAGCTTGCACTCCCAAGACTTTATAGCCCGAAAGATTTTGGAATTCTCTATGAATGTCATTTGTTTATCATGTTTCCTCCTCTGACTCTGTTAGAGTTGTTGTTATTAATCAACTGAGGTTCCGTTACACTTGCATGGAGTGTTAAGGGAAACGATGCGAACAGCGTTCAAGTGCGGGGGCAACATGTTACTTTTCCGCTCTTCTGGCCGCATTATGTTATGAGACATTTACTGACCATTGTGTTCGCCACTTGCAGTAGAGAGTGGAAGAAGATGTGCATAGTAGGGCCCCAGTATTGGCATCTGGCATCCCCAACCCGTCATTAGCGTCATCATACGGTTCCTTTGCCTCTTTTTCTCTATGACTTCTTGATCATACGGGGTTACCAGGAGTCTTTTGTCAGACTCCTGTGTAACTTGGGACACACAGAATGCAAGTCTCAGCCTCTGGGGAGCTTGTGTCTCCCCTTTCTGGATACAGCACACCACATCTCTCTTTCACAGCTACCGTGCCACCTGCCTTAAGAGCATCCACATTGCTGTTGCGTCCTGGTTCCAGAGAGGGAGTGGATTGTACGGCTGTTCTCCTTAGCTGGGATTTGGTTTGAGGTCGGACAGACAGTAGGAACTTGGTGCTTCCGTTTCTAACATGGACCTGATCTAACAACAGGAAGCATGGTCCGGCATGCTCTCTTCAAGTATTCACTAAAGAACCCTGCTGCAGACAACAGTAGGGTTCCTTGCCTAGTGAGCCACCTGTGGCTGGTTCTATGTGCTGGATTGGAGGAACAACAGAAGCCTGGCAACATTTCCCAGGATAACTCTCGCGATGCAATGTACCACAGATCATAAAACGTACATTGATCCAGCGGATCACATATCACTCCTGAAATGCATTTCTCCTTTTCCAAATTACACCCATGGAGTAGATTATAGTGAACTTTGATGTTGGGTACAAGGGCTACATTTGCTTTTTTTTTTTATTTAATGTTTTAAGGAGAAGGGCATGGTTAGGGTGATGTAAAAAAAAAAAGAGCTGAATTCTGAGGGTCAGTTAAGATTGGAGAGCCATCCCTCTTGATGGTGGTCTCACACTGTAAAGGTCAAATAGACCATGATAGACCCTGGCTTACTTCCCACATTTATGAATGTAGCCTGGAGAAATTAGTTGACATGTTTCAGGTCACAGTTACTAGCAGAAAGAGGTTCACAGGCTCCAAGTTCAAGACCTTTGCATTTTGCTTTTCCAGCACGGCCAGAGTGTATCTGATAAAGAACCATGTCAGTCATCTCCCTGTATGGACTTGCACTGGCCGTGGGAGAGAATATAAAAGTATCACATCCTACATCTCCAAACACGTTGCTCACCGAGTCCCGGAGGCTGAGCAAGCTTGCCTCCTTGGCTTGTGGTTAAAGCTGAAACTGCACACCCTCCTCTACTCACGAGGTGGCACACTGCTTCCATGTGTTCTTGGGTTCTTTCTCAAAGCTAGAGGAGACAGGAATGGCTGCTTTGTGGGTGCATCTGTCTGCTCAGGTGATTGAGACATCATGGAGCAGAATGAACGTGCTATGGTCATCAGCTTTGCCGAGCAGTCTGAGGTGCGGAAGTCCCCCATTCTGCCTGAAGACGCAGACTAAATTAAATGGATTAGTTTTTTGAATAGAGACTTTCCATCACAGTGTGTGGAGAGATTTCCACGCAGAAACTTGAAAGCACATATCTGTTTCTTTTTGTTTCTTTTTTCCCCCCTTCCCTCAAGCTTTGCTTGTTTGCATCCCCTCTCCAATGTCTCACATAGACCAAGCCGTCCTAGGGCTTGACCTTCTGATCCTCCTGTGTCTGCCTCCCGAGTGCTGGGATTACAGGAATATACCACCACGCTCAGTTTTATGGGGCTTCCGACATGCTAGGCAGCAACTGAGCTGTACCCCTACTCCACATATAGTTACTTACTTTTAGTTTATTATGAAGGTCTCAGAGGAGAGGAAAAATGACATGCTTTCGTCCCCCAACCGTGCCCCTGTCCTAAAAACAATAAATAACAAAAGCAAATGTAACCCTTGTACCCAGCATTGAAATTCATTGTAATCTGCTCCATGGGTGTAATTTGGAAAAGAAGCGATACATTTCAGGAGTGATACGTGATCCACTGGATAAAAGTACATTTTACAAGTTGCAATTTGCTTACTCATTAGCGCGGACCAGTTTTGTATGTTGTCCAGTAGTGAAGAAGACTATATTTCAAAACAAAGACTAAGACAGGGAATGACTGTGAGTGTGCATTGAGGAGATTGTCACAGAGGGTCTAAAAAGAGTCTATTTGAGGTTTTAAAATCACGGATGTGTGTGGGGGTTTGTGCATATCAGTGCAGTGTCCATGGGTTCCAGAAGTAGGTGCCAGATCCCCTGGCACTTGAGTTATGGGTAGCTGGGAGCTGCACCCGTGTGGGTGCTGGGGATTGAACTCAGTCTTGGGCAAGAGCAGCCAGAGCTTAAGTTCTGAGCCATCTCCCCAGCCCTGCCCCCCTCAGTAGTTTTAGAGAGGGGAAAGAGGGGGTGGAAACGATGCAACTATAATACCTAGGCATGAAATTCTCAAAACATTATATAATGCTTGTAACTATTGTAGTTACTTAAAAGACAAATTATGAACTTTGTAATATAGACAAGTGGCTCTCTCTTTCTCCCTTCTTACTATCATGCCTGTTAAAATTCCGTGTAACATTTATGAACTATGTAATATAGACAGAAAAGACTCTCTCTCTCTCTCTCTCTCTCTCTCTCTCTCTCTCTCTCTCTCATCTTCTTCCATGTTAAAATTCTGGGTACACGTGTTTCCACATCAATAGCTTACCTTGAACAAATTTTTTTTGTCTCAATTTTCTTAACTATAAAATGAGTGCGAACAATCTCTCCCTCCAAAGTGGGAGACCCATTAAAAGAAGAATTAAAAGTAAACCATTCAGAGTAGGTCCCAGCTACAACAGGCTGTTTCTAGTGCAGCAAGGTGTGTGGATTTTAATTCTTGTTTCCAAGTTTAAGTCAATCATTGCATTAAAGAAAGGTGTGTTTATGAGTTATCGCAAATCCATAGACTTGTGAGTGTGCTGGCTTACTTTGGTGGTTTCCTTCTGGGCTGTTTGTAGGTGACATACCACAGCCCTTTGTATGTCCCGAGGGTGAGGACCAGACCTTGTTTGTAGTGGTGGCAACACCAGAAGTCCCATAACCATGCCTCACAACCGCATTCTCATGGCTGTGTGGTTGGTGAGATGGCTCAGTGGGTTACGGCACTTGTTGCTTTAGTGCTATGGAGAAAGCAGCCCCGGGGGAGGGCTGCTCTAGACATTTGTGTATGCTGAAGGCTAGAGTTCATCCTCTGTGTGGCTGTCCCCTAGGAGGGGGTGCCATGCTCCCACAAAATGCTTAGCATCTTTAAGTTCAAGAGTTCTCCTAAATTCTAGGTTCTGCTGACACCACACTCTTGGTTTCTCACCAACTAAGAAGGCAGAAACCCTAGATGTCACGCAGACCACTTGTCAAACGCCTGATTGCCTTCTGTGGTCACCTGAAACCCCAAGTGAGAACTCTTAAGGAAACCAGTGCTTGCTTCTGTCTCTTGCTGCTGAATATGTCTGCACAGAGATGCTGGCCTTCAGGATCGTATGTGTGAAAAATAAACCCCCAATAGAATTAAGTATAAAAGAAAATCAATCCCTTCTTTCGGGTCCATGTTGTTTAGCTTATTAACATCTGTTCAATGCTATTATTTGTGTTGGAGGGCTTGGTTGAATTACTAATGATCTGCAATTATCAAACAGGAATGAATTTTATTGAGTGGAACAATGATGCAATCATTCCCACTGTGCTGTTGCCATTTTTTTCCCCCAGAAGTC